GCGCCGCTCCGGGCGCGTCTCTGCGCGTGTGTCTGTTTGGAGAGGAAGAGGGCTTGGTGACAGGCGAGGCGTGCGGGAAGAGTTCAGCCTGAGTCACAGTCTCATTCACTGATTTCTCGGCGGCTGGACCGATGCTGCCTCCCCAGGCGGCTCCCGACTGCGCCTACACCGGCCCAGTCCACGTCTCCCGCTGGTCCACCCTCCGCCAGCCAGACTGACCNNNCCCTCCGCCAGCCAGACTGACCGACAGGCTCGGGAGTGAGTAGCCGCGGCTCGTGCGCCCCCGCAGCGCGGCGAGCTGGCCCCGGCGGTCCTGTCCCCGCGCGGGCTTTGTGTTTGTGTGTGCGCGCGGAAGGGGTGTCCCCGGGATTCCGCGATGGCTCCGAGAGCTCCCTGTCCAGGGGAGTCTGCGCCGTGTGGGTCCCCCTGGGCAGGGGCTCGGACGCCCCAGGCGCCGGAGGGTGTTCGCCGGGATTCCCCGGCTCAGCGCGCGGCCGCCAGTGGGGTTCCCCGGGAAGGCGCCTAGGCCGGGAAGCGGCGGGGAAGTCCGGGCTGCGAGCGGCTGGCAGGCGGGGAACCTGGGAGTGGGTCTGCATGGCGGAGCCGAGGGAGACGCGGGAGCGGCCGCCCCCGTCCGCCCAGCCTCCCCGCCTCTCCGCCTCTTTCCCTTCCCCGCTTCCTTTCTTTTCTCAGCAGCATCACAAAAGCGCGCTGCAGAACGAAACCCAAAGCAGCGCAGTCCTGCTCTTCTCCCACCTGGTGCACATCCCCCGGGGCTGGAGGACTGGAACAGGAGTCTCGGAGATTAGGGGCGGGGGCTTATCCCGGGAACACACCTGTTTTCGACTCTGGCTGAATTTAACCTGCTGCGGGATCGCGCGAGGGATTCCCGCACACACATACCGGGAGTGTGCGTGTGTGTGCGCGCCCCCGCGCGCCCGCGCACCCCGGGGCCCACCCTCTCTGAGTGCGCTTGATGGAAACAGCACCCCTCTCGTGCCAGGACGGCTCCGTGGGCCCCCGTGCCCTCATCTCTTTGTTCGGTTGTGGCTTCCCCACCCCTCCGCAGAGCGAATTGATTTTCAGTTTCGCTTGACACTGGGCACTGGGACTTGGCGCTGGCCGCGGCCTCAAACGCTCCGGGTATTTGTCATTGAAGAGTTCTTCCGCGCGGGGGGTTATTTTTAGTGTTGGGAATAAAGAGGCGAGCACGTTGACCTTTTTGCGGTTGCCTCGGGCTTGGAGGACGTCTCTAATTGATATAGCAGGCGGGTTCACATCCAGCCACGCACGCGTGCCTGCGCACAAGTGTGAACACACATTTCTACACACCTAGCTTTCCCTCTTCGTTACTTTTTGGAAATTGGGACTGGGGATGCATTGTGTTTGTAAAAAAAAAAACTTTCCTTTGTTCTTTCGGGCATTTTCTATTTTGAGTTAATGGAGTAGGAGTAGGAAAGGGTTGCAATTAGTTCACTCGAATAAAAGACATTGCCTCTGAGTCAGAGCCGCCAGGTTGATAATTATTAACATATAAAAGCAGATGTGCTGTTTATGGGAAAAGGGGCGGGGCGGGGGCAGGTCCCGATAGACAAGGAGGGCGGGTGTCAGCCGACCGCCCACTGCTCATTGTTCCGCACTGGAGGCTGCATCCTCCAGCCGCCGCCTCCTCCGGGGCTTCCATCCTCTCGTCCCCCTGCCCCACTTGGGACCGTCCGAGCCACTGAGCGCTGGCCCCGGGGCGCGAGGCTGCCAGCCCCGCGCTGACCGCCCTCTCCCTGCTTTACAGGTTGGCATCTTCGCGCCGGGGAGCGTCTGGAGCAGAGGCGGCGAGGACAGCGCGCCTCCGGTCCAGCCGGCCGG